CCAAATCTGTTAAAATAGTGGGTATGAAAAAAGCACAGGCCCCATGGCAGGCCGCTCTCAAACCTAAACCCTAAACCCTGAAACCCAAACCCTGAAACCTAAACCCCGAAACCTAAACCCCGAAACCTTGACCCTGACCCCTAAACCCTGAACCCCAAACCTTTTTTGAGGCCGCGGCCGCCAGGAGTGTGGCCGGATCGGTCGGCGGATCTCCGGGTGGGGGAACCTCTGCGTCACCTGAAACCAAACCCTACAGCCCCCCCTCAAGTGGACAGAACATGGGGTACATTTTAGGAGGACCCCCCCACCCTGTAATCGGGGTATAGTAGGAATATAATAGGACCTAATATAGTCCTCATTATCCCTTAGGGATGTTTATTCTGATTCTAACTGGGAGCGAACTTCACTACACCCTGGCAAAAGCCTCGCGTCTGCTTCTCCTTCTCAAGCCTCAGAACAGCAGCGCGATGATTGCAACAGTTGTAACGTTCTGTTTTTATGGCTGAGGGATGGGTTTAGGGGTTTGGGGTTTAGGGTTTTGTTAAGGAGGATGTGACAGCATGTTTGAGTCTAGCATTGATTTTTCTGCCAACACAATGCCGAACAACTGAGTCTCCAACGTTCGCCAGGATGCCATCCGATCGGTGACCTTTGAGCCCAGGAGCGAGAACACCCAGCTGGGAGGGTTCTCAAAGTTTGTTTGCTTTTGGCTTAGGGTTTAAGATTTAGGGAGGGTCCTTCTTTGGGGAGGTCCCCTATGATAAGGATCCTGTTAGCCGGGTGGACAGAAGTTGGACCGGTATTTTGAGAAGTTTACCTGAGCTGGGCCCCGTGCCGCTGCACTAACGAAACTGGGATCGTAGGTTGGGAACAGCCTGGCACCACTCCATCTCCTACTGCTGCTACTAAGTTACTACGAGTAACACGAGTCAATACTGATCATCATGATACTGCAACTAATACTAACACTTCACTACTACTAATGTTACTAGGTCTAAAATCACATACATTCGACTTGTACATACTTCTGAACGCTAAACCCTGCTTGACCTATTCTACCAGCAACCAGGCAGGGTCGACTCCTCCCTGAGGTAGGCTTTCACACTCTCTTCGATTGACATCTCGAAGACCTGGCTTACATGCAGGGGTTTAGGGTTTAGGGCCCCGAAATGCGTGTCACCTTTAAACGGGAAATAGCGGCTATGTCGGATTACGCGTAGGGTTTAGGGTTTCAAAAATTGTCCGCCCCTCCTTGGGAGACCTCATGGAGACGGAGTGCATATGATATTTGGTGTTAATGGTCGCCTTTTTCGACAAGTTCCGTAACGCGGCGCATCACGCGCCCGAAATGTAGCATGACATGGCATTGCCTCCCGAAACCTCATATGCACTTAGGGTCAACACAGGGCCGAGCTGAGCAGAGGATAATGCAAGCTGTTCTGGCTGACCCCGCTTTGGAAACTTCCACATCTCAAGCTCAGATTTGAAGGATCCTTAGAGAATCAGCCTTGTCTCTTATGTGTTGCAGAAAAAAAAAAAAAGCACACGCAAGGACCATGGAATGTAGAAACTGATACTTACAAGTGTTCAACAGAACCACACATCAGGGAGTCACCTATTACTTCTTAGGTACACCCCAGCCATTGCCTCGAAGAAGCGGATGGCAATTCTCTTGGAGGCCACACCGGTCTTGGCACCACCTTCTCATAGCGGGGTTCGGGTTTAGGGTTTGGGGTTCAGGCTTAGTTTTTCTAACCCCGCGGTCACACCCAACAGCCAACCGGACACCCAGGCTTGTCCCATGACGGGTCTCACGTGCACTAACAACCTCAGGGTCGGCAAAAAGCCGGCCACCCGGCCCTCGTTTTTTGGGCTTGTAGGATGCACTTCAGGCTTCAGCGTCTGGGATTTTTTTTTCAGGGTTTAGTGGTCTCCAAGATTAAGACCCTTGTTATAGACCCCACACCCCAACCTCAACGCTAAAGCTTGACATGCCTTTTTTTAGGAGGACCTCCCACCCTGTAATAGTGGTATAACAGGAAGATCAGAGGACCCTAGAGTAATCCGTATTAAACCCTTATAGTCAGTATTACTGGATGGCGGGGGGGGTCCACCTAGCCTATAGCCGAAGGAAAATTCCCCACCTTGCTCTCCAGCAATATAGCAGACATAGCTTTCAGGTTTAGGGTTTAGCTTAGGGTTAGGCATGGCGGGGATTGAGGGTTTGGGGTTATAGAATCCAGAGGGTCCCATGGTAGCCCCATAAGATACCCCATGAGAGTGGAGCGCCCATGAGGGAAGAACACGTAACCATAAGAATTCTTCATACTAGCAGACCAGGGCCAGAATTCTTCATGCTAGCAGACCAGGACCTAGACTCTAAACCTTAAGTTCAATCCTAAACACAAAATGCAAAACCCCAAACCCAAAATCCCGAAACCATAGAACCAGGAATGCTGGCTGAACCAAGCAAGATCATCTTCTTCTTATGAAGTACTAGACCCAAAACGGAAAGATAATCTTACTCTACGTTGGGGACATATTCTCCCATGAAACACACTACGCATACTACGCTAAACCCTAAACCGAAAGCTGAGCGGGCCTGTTGGCTTGGACCGTGAGCTCGTCTTCTCACCTCCCACACGGCTTTTGGATTGCAGGTCCGGTCTTAGGGAAGGCAACGAATGTGGACATCTGACTCAACAGTCAAGTAGAAGGATATTCCAGTTTGTATTCCGGTGGCAAATGGGTTATGGGGGGATGCATCTTGCTCAGTTGCTTAACTTGCCCTAAGCCCTAAGCCCATATGCCGCTTCACCCGCAGCCCTACAGAACCCCCATATAATCCCAATATAACCCCCAATATACTATAGTAGTTTCCATTCTCTTTTCCATTATCCCAGTATAACCCCCAATATACTATAGTAGTTTCCTATGATA